CGAATACAATGCACCCATGTGTATATACATGAAACCTTTAAATAACAACATAAATGTTGTGTTCCAGCACCAGAAGAACTGGCACAAATTTACAAACAGCACTGCCCTCAAGGGAGGGGGAAATTAATGTAAACTAGAAAGGTCAGTGAAAGCTTCATGGAGATGGAGCGGAGTTCTGAAGCACAAGCAGGATTTGGACAAGCAGAGCAAGAGGAAGGGGCTACACAGACAATGAGCTGCTGGCATTTACACTCCATCTCTGCCTGACTCCCCCACAGTCTGTTTCTTACTATCTTCTTCCTACTAAATTGGGCTTCAGAAGAGCTGCCTGATAGCCAAGCCCTCACTGCAATCAGGCCAAATGGAGCAATATCAGAGCCCTGGACAGATATGTAAGACAGAGAGGAGTCACTTCACATCATCTCTAAAATAACACAAATGTTTATTTAGTGTTTACTTTATAGCCAGTGCGCTGCGGTCTAACTCGCAGGGCCTAAATTCACAGAGGAACAACTCCAGGGCTCGTTCTTGTGCTTCCTAGCAAGCAGGCACTAAAGGGTAAGCAAGGAAGGACCACACCTCACCCCAACTATCCCCCAAAATAAGAAAATGAATTTTCTTTGCATGCGGAAGAGAGCTTTGTGAACCAGGAGGAATTTATGGGGTGCTCAACCTGCCCATAATCACTGTCACTTAAAGATAATAGGTCAACTACTCATGTGACAGGCATTTTTCAGCATTTAGCTGGTCTCTCACAAACCACCCCATGGAACACATAAATTCATTTAAGCAATTTGCAAAGCAGTTCATCTTAGAAGATTCCTAAGTTACTTTTGGACACTTTGGACACTTTGGATTTGTTGATGACAAAGGTGAGAATTTGATTACTTCTGTTTTAATGTATATCCAGTGACAAAATATTTTTTGATCATTACAAACTAGATTAGAAATAAATATTCATTGGCACAGGAAATTCCTCAAAATATTTTGCTCAGTTTCAAAAAGCAAGTTATAAAATATTATGTACACTAAGATTCAGTTTTTTAAAAATATTAAATCGATACACTTTAAGTAGACGTTTATCATTGAAAATACTAGTAGAAACTATGCAGGGAGGGGTGGGCAAAAGGGAAGTAAAATTAGAGATGATTTTGACTTCTTTCATTATGATTTTCCTAATTTGCAAAATTCACTATAAATACTATACACAACGTTGGAAATTTGCAGCATAATTAAAATAGCCACATTCTATAGGATCATCCGTCAGTACTTGGGCGTAGAACCTACACAACTTCCTGAGGAAAAGCTTGGTCCTGCTCTTAGGAACTGCTTGCATCAATCACCCACCGACAAAAATCAGATCTTTCTTTCAAGAATGTCCTTGTTATGTTCCTCATGTTATTAATAAAATGTAAATATTTTCAACTGCTATAGGTGTTCAACACTTAACTCTCAGTTATTTGAACAAAAAATAGCTACAATCCAGGTAGTTATCAGAGAAGTCTAACGTGAACTCAATATTCTACACAAGTCTGCACAGAGAAAAGTGGTAGATATGGAGTATCATCTACCCACAGTCTCCAATCAGGTTCAAGTAGGAGGCAATGTGGCCATCTTGAGCAGGAAAACCTGGTTGTACTGTTGAGGGTTTTCAAGGCAGCACTACCTCAATGCCTCCCCACCTAGATGCACACTCCAGATATCACCGCAGATTTGCTTATTCTGAAACGTGCTCAGCACAATGACGCCAGTGGACATGAACCCCTCTGACATCTTTCTTTACACACCCTAATAAAAGACTGTGGGGAAAAGATGTCTCTGGCCTTAGAACCAAGAAGAGTTATTTTCTCCTTATCATGCAACTGGGTTTCTATTTTCCCTTACTCCTGATTTGTAGATTTCATTTTATTGTTTTATCTTTTTGTCCTGTAGATAGTTCTGTCAACCATCTCCATTTTTTGGTGACAGAAAGCAAAGAATGAACAAATAAATACACATTGGGGAAATAACATAATTAGAAATGGGTGAAAATAAGCCTACAGGAAGGCCAATAATTCCAGCAACAATAACAGGAAAAAAAAAAAAAAAAAGACGAACTAGTACGAGAGGTCTGTCAGAGTGATAGGAAGTCAGTGATAACATAGGGTGTGTGGAAACAGCAGAATCGAGATTCTGAAGTGGGCTGAGTCTTAACATGGCCACTAATCAGGTCAGTGACGTGTGCCAAGGAGTGGATGCCTGGGCCTCCGGACACCCAGAGATGCCAAGGCACAGGGTCTGCCGGCCACTCTGTGTCCTGCTGTCGAGTTTCTACTCTGCTTCCAGCCCTTCTAGTGGACACTTTAACAACTTAACCCCTCTACTTATTTTTCTTATCTGCAAAACAAGAGTGAGAACACTGACTCTGTATTATTATAGAACTTTCATGGAATTTCTTTTCTAGTATTCACAAGCATTTTATATGCATTTACAGACGAGAAACCTGAGATGCAAGAGTTAGGTCACAAAACCAATATGTTTAGAGCTATGAGTGAAATGCAGTCTCCAGGTCCATCATGTTAACCGCTCCTGACCGCAGATGATAAAATGGACAGAGGCACGTAAGGCACTGAGCACAGGGCCTGGCTCACAGGAGGCCTGTCCTAACTGCTTCCTAAGCAAATGGAAAGTTACTTACAAATCTGAAGTCCCTTCTTTTACCATGAAAAGATATACTATATGTCAGGTATGGTATATTTAGGGTAAATGTTATATCAAATTTCTAGATGCTACAAAGAATAAGTAAAACAAGAAAAGTGGAATTCATATTAAATTGAACAAGTGCAACTTAGGAAGTCTGAAAACTGAGCACAAAGATTTATGTATAAATATTTTCATTATGGTGCTATTCATTACAGTCAAAAAAGGAAATGAATTAAATATCCTAAAAATACAGGATGATCAAACAAAATATGGCAATATTTACAACGGAAGACAAGAGGACTGGATTAAAATATGACAGAATTTCAACATTAGTCTCTTTCCTTTGGTAATATGGCTTGTATGAATTCTCCTTTACACTTGTCAGCAATCCAAATTTTCTAAGATCTAGTGCTATAATAATTTGAAAAATGCTATTTTTAATTGAAGTAAGTCAGTACAAACCCTGTGTATCACCTTTAATCTGATTTATAGGAATGGTATGAAAGGGTCTTCCCAACAACACCTAATCCTTCCTCAGTTTCTGCATCAAAGATCTGCCTGATAAAAGCTAATTATTTCAGTGGCTCATATCCTCACTATGTTTAAGTTACTAAAAAAATTTAAATTACTTTAATAAGCATTAGATGGCAAATGTATAGTTTATAAGAAGTCTGTGCTGGTCAAACAGATACTCAACTCCGGGGGCCGACAAAAACATTGACACCTGTCAATGTTGCATGGAGATGAGGGTGGCAGACCTAGCCAAGAGCTGCTGATCAGGTTTCAGAGAAACAGACGTAGGAGCCAGCTCTGGTGGCCCAGACACAGGGAGGGTAATGTCAAGGCTGCCATGGCTGTCATCTAGAAGAGGCTGGTCACGTTCCTGATCTCCACAAATGGGGTAGTGGGAAAAAGTTACAGGGTAGAAAAATATAACCCCCAAAGTGCAATGCAACATTTCTCAGCAAGTAGAGATAACCAGTAATAAATCAGGCAGCTCTTTTATTGTATGTTGATGCTGTAGCGTAAGTCAGTTGAGATGGACAGAACACAGTGTTGTAAGCAAGGAGCAGGCCTGGCATGAAGCACCTGTACAGAGGCTGTCCCTAGAACCAAACCACACCAGGGGAAAGTCTTAGTGAACCCCTGGAGGTAGACCTGCTCTCACTCCTGCTCTGCCTTGACTGAGGCCAGTTACCGGTACGTGGAAGAGAGCACGTTCCTCTCAAACACAGGTCTGGATCTAGAAGTAAAGGGATCCAAGAGAGGCTACTGGAAGTTAATGCCAATCCTTGAGGGCAATTTGTGGGAAATGAGGAAACTCTATGCCCCAAGAATAGTCAGATAGAGTGGGATTAGGAACCCCACTCTCTGTGAGAACTTGCTGTATTTTGTTCACCACATGTATTTGCTTCCGCTCATCCTTTACTGTTTGGGAAAGACTGACAAGGTAACGTGCTGCCTCATCTCTGATTAGAGGCCAAGAAAAGAGGTTTCTAGCAACAAGTGAAAAGATCATGAAAGTGTCTATATGATAAGAAGTTTACGTACATAAACTCTCTAATCTATTTTACCTGTTTTACAGATGAGGAAACTGAGGCACAGAGAGATTATGCTACTTGTCCAAGTTCCACAGACAGTAAGTAATAGAGGCGGTAATCCAAACAGGAACAGGAGTAATAATCATTGCCGGGGCTCTGCTCGTTGTTTCTCGAGGGAATCGTTTCCTGCTATTTGGTATTACTTAGCAGTAATTCATGGATATCCCGAGTGTCATGAGTAAGTTCCTTCCCCCTCTTCCTCCTCCTATTATTTCCCCCCCAGCTCTCCTAATTGTACCTCTATATGTGTGAAAAATAGGGAGACAATAGGCAGTATTTTGATTCAACACACACATACTCAAACACAGCTATAACTGCTACAGTTTAAGAAGGACATTGAAAATGAACTTTTCTGTTAGTGATTAAAATTATAAGACTATTAAACTCTAAATCCAAGCACTTCATCCAAGAACATATTCTGGTGGTTAATGACTCACCAATTAAGAAATATGACTGACTTTAACACTGAGAAAGATATTTCAAGGGAAATTAAGTAATTACTAAATTTGTTTTAAGAAACCATTCTCCTGTGTGTTCTTAGCAATATCCATAGCAGCAGTTCCTACTTTAAGCAGATCTCCATTATGTGAGCTTGCAATATTGCCTAATGCAACAAAATTATTTTGACCAATTTAAACCACAGCTCTCTTACTTCTCTTGACTATGCCCATCTTAGGAGGTATCAGGAAAGCCCAGGAATTCCAGGGCCGCACTTACCTGTGATCCAGGTGGTGGATGGAAAGAATAACTCCGGAATTTAAGTGGGTCTGCTTTAGAGTCACCAAAATAGTAAATTCATGCTTATTTCTCAGCTTCTGAAGAAACTGTTCAGCTGTAGCAGTAGATGCTTTTACACTTCTAGGAGTGTCTAAAAGAAAGAAACACACTTTGAGAATAGACTGGAACTTGGTTTTATAAAGTATCCTTTACATACCACATCTTTCCAAAACCCTGATGAAGTAGTAACTGATAAATACAAAGTCTGAGACTTTGCTATTAATTCTTGCAACAGGACTTTTATGTTACAGGTAACACAGGACAGTAAATCTGTGTGAATTACTGAACGTGTATGTGAGAAATCTTTTTTCAAAACTATCACCTTTGAGGCAAAGAATCCAAGAACCCTATTTGATGAAGCACATTCCAAGTTTTCTCTGGACACACTTTCTGTAGCCTGGGTGTTACAGCCACAACAATGGACACAAAGATGTTCTTCCCACACCAGGATCTAGAGGACCACGCAAGAGGCATTTGCTTCTCTGACACCTCATGACAGAAAACTGGATCTGAATCCAAGTGCCACCTTCCACATTGATGTCTAGCCAGAAGGCTTACCATAAATAGATCTTTATAAGATCATTGAAATTAGTCACTCTCAGCCTTCTGTGCAGTGGATGAAACATTAAGATCAAATTCTCTTACCATATTTGTTGCAAGAAATACACAGAACATAATTCCCACGTTCTTCTCCCCAGGTTTAGAGAAAGCCTAGCCAAGGGAGGCTACCTCAGGGGGTAGAAGCTTTTGCTATATACTTCCACATGGGTCGGTCATGCTTTCCAATCCAGGAACCAGAGGATACAGATGAGAACAGAAAAGCATTTAGAGAATAGAAAAAAAGCTATCAATCAAGCTATCCGCTAACTGAGCAAAAGGTCCTCAGTTTGTAGTGAGTGCAAAGAACCAACGGGGGCCAGAAGCATATTTTATATAGTGATCAAATCACTCTCCTCTCTTCTGTCCCTAGTGTAGACAGGTAAGCAGTTCTCAAGGAAGAAACTACTTTCCCCATTGGAAAGAACGATCCTTCTTTATCCAAGACTGTCCCACACACTTAGTATCAGTACTCCTGGGTCCCAGTCACCTAATGCCAGTGGCATCCAACCCAGTTACAGTGACAGCCCAATGTACTCCATACATTTCAAGCTTTTGTATGGAGGGCCACGCAGCGGAAACTTAGCTGAGAACCACACCCTTTAGGAAATGGGATTCACTGAATCCAAAGTTACTCACTCTGCCAGCCCCACAAATTTATGTGAAAAAAGGGTCATCACTGTTCTGTACCATCTGTTGGAATGCAGACCTGGAGACTGGCCCCCTAACCCAGGGCACGCACCCAAAAAATGGGTTCCAGTTCTTAGGAAAAAAGAAATGTTCTTATTTCTTAAAAGAAACTTCCTCATTTCCACTCAATATCCACAACTCAATTTGTGCCATGGTCAAGGTTCAGAGTTTCTTCCCAGGTTCCAGGCAAGATAAAACAGAGCGTGGAGGAGACTCCAACCCATTTCCCAATTCCAGAACTTTCTACTTCTACGCGGAAGCCTACCAACTGTAATTCTGTGAGAATAATTTACCTTATGCCAACATTTTATCTGCTCTAATTTATACACAAGTTAATCATTCACAATCTTTATTACTTTGCTTTAATTTGATAGATAAAAGCAAATTAAAATTTAATTATAAATATTTATTATGTGCCCCCCCACCCCTTTCCAGGCAGGTAGAAACTGAGTTGCATCCTTTGTCTCACTGAGCAGGATGATGGATAGAGATGCAAATGAGAAAACAGAGAACCACACTGAATACAGAAAAGATCATTAGACCCACAGAGAGATCCAAAGGGGTGGCCCAGATACCGAGCTTATACAATGAGAGAAAAGGAATTTGGAAATGTGTGGCAGCTGCACGACAAGGTACAACTATAGAGAACAGATGCTTAGCCGGGATATTTAAGAAATTTTGTCTTTTGATATATGCACAGAAAACCTTTACTAAATCTTTATTATTTGCCTCTGATTTTTTTTTTTTCATATAAGAACTTGGGTGTAGGCCAGGGGTGCAGGGTGAGAGGATTCCCCAGAGACAGAGTAGAGAACAGAACAAGTGCATTGACTGAAATCCACTGCTAAGGGGAGCAGTAGGCAAGACAGGAGAGGTCTGCTATGCCATCTGGGTCAGCTCCTGGCCAGAGATCAAACTCAGGCTATAGCGGTGATAGCTCTGAGACTTAACCCTTAAGGCCACCAGGGAGGCCCTTATTCTCCACTGTTTATGAAGTCAGATGGATGGAGAGAGATGAGAGACTATATTATTTTTGTGGTTTTCTTTGTTTTGTTTTCAGATGAAATAACTTGTGTAAATTGCCCATAGGTAAAAGGAAGAAGGAACTAAAATTACATCACATTTGTGTATTTTTAGTAAAAATGTAAATACCATGGTTGAAAACGTGGTGAAAGAAAGTATAGGTGAAGGAAAACCATATTTTAAAAATTGATCAATCTGAACTATGGAAAACTTTTTCTGGTGGCCATGTGAAAGGGAATTTAAAGACAGAAAAACTTAGATACAGGGAGAACACTTAAGAAGCTTTGGTAGTTAGGATGATCATTGACTTATGTTAGATTTTACGTATTTCAAACATCACATGTTGGTGCTCTGAAATGACTTTCACCAAATCAACCTTTTCTTTTTTTCTTTTTTTTTTTTTTTGGTCTTAATTAGTAATGGTTATACTCAGCTACTGGCCCTTCACTTCTTGTCAGGCATGTTGACAAGAGAAAGGCCAAGGAACCCCAGCCTGGACATCTGCATCAAGACACCGAAGGAAGTACCCACAGAGCTTCCTCTAGGCCCCAAGTGGTAAGACCCCCTTCCCCCACCCACCTAAACCCAGCTCATGTGGAGGCTTATTCGGTCACACAGGGTCATATCTCGACACAGGTCCTCTGGCCCTATCCCACCTCACATCACAGTACTTACTCAGTTTTGCTCCCTCTATCTATCAGTGTAGGGTGCCCTGCAGAATGAGGGCCCCTTCAGCACAAACACAGTCAGTAGATGCCCCATACTGCCATGCTGTAGTGACAGGAAACCTAGCACCTTTCTTCCCTTCCTCATTAAGAATGAAGTACAATGAAGGTCATTGCACAGAGGTTTAAAAACTAGGGTTTTCATAAATATTCCACCTGTGTTACAGTGAGGAGCAATGTGAAAGGCTCATGGGAGGGAGAAAATCTGGCCTGACTTACCTTGGTCTCAGGATAGTCTCCTCACCTGTCATCCCAGCCCACACATGCATAAGTACATGGGTGGATGGATAGATAAATGATAGATTAGATAGAGAGATAGAGAGATAGAGAGACAGAGAGATAGAGAGAGAGAGAGATGAAAGAGAAACTGATGATAGATAGAAAGATGGATAGATAGAAGATGGATATATAGGCAAACAGAAAGACAGTTAGATGATAGACAGATGAAAGAGAGACTGATGATAGATAGAAAGACAGATAGATAGACAGAAGACAGAGAGAAATATAGAGGATAGGTAAGTAGGTAAGTAGATAGCCAGACAAAGGATGGCTAGATAGATAGAGAGGATGAATAGACAGGTAGACAGAGGATGGATGGATGGATGGATGGACAGACAGGGGATGGATAGATAGAGGATGGATGGATGGATAGATAGATAGATAGATAGATAGATAGATAGATGATAGAGGGTAATCAGATAGATATATACATATGTCACACAAATAACACTGCACATTTGGTACTATACATTTATCATTCAAAAATCTATAGTAATATATTTCCCCCCTTGGAATCCACATTGTTGTAGGCTCACGAAGCCCTGGAGACTTGCCAGGGGCAACTATTCCTTTTACAACCAGTAAAATAACAAGAGAAGGAACAGTCCCATGGTTCACCCAAAAGCAGCCAGAAAACTAGATGTGAAATGGGGATGCCAATTTCTGGACCATTATTCTTCCACTACAGGCAGTGCCTCCGGCACACGGCATCCCCTATCCACACTGAGCTGGCACTCACAAACAGGAATGCAAATTAAGAGAGAACCAACACAGAAAATAACCCAGAAAAAAAACAATTATGTAAAATAACATTTTTAGCTCCTTAAGTGACTAGTTTAGCAATGATGTACAAAAAGGTCACTTTCCCCATATGCACTTGGTTCCTAATTTATAAAATAAGCATTCCTACCTTCTATTTTTATCTCAAGGATTATACGATGTTCAGAGACATGTATGAGTTCTCTCCATTACCCCTGTAAGACTCAATTCTGGTCTTATACCAGAAACCCAAGTCAAAGAAACTACCGTGTGACAATGAACTCTTTTCATTTTGCTATCATTTCCATTTTCAGAATTAAAAATTTAGTTCAAATATCTATTAAGCAATTTTTCAACAAGGCCTCCTCTTAGGTACCAATTGTAAGAGTATCAAGTGTGAAGGTTATGAGAACAAATTCAGAACCCAGAAGAATGCCGTTCTAATGCCAGCAATGTGGACGACTAGTGTTGAAACTAGGTTGATGCTTACTATATGCGTATAAGCAATAAGACTGTGGAGCTCAGTGAAACCATCAGAAGTCTTTATGCCCTTGTGGTGATCTTCTGAATTTACTCTCATTCTTATCAACCCAAACACAGACACAAAACATGTTTCCACAATTGAAAACTGGTATAAAAGTTTCTGACAATGAAATTATTCTGAAGATAAAGTCCTACCTACTCCTCTCCCTTTCTAGAGAACTATGAACGATCATTCTTCTACGGACGAAAATCAATGTAGACTGAATTTCTTTCCAAAGAGGACTGACAAAGATCATATTAATTGCTTCTTCAGAGAGAAAGAGGCTAAGAAAAGGAGCATTTAAATTCTACGACTAAGCTCTACAGAAAAACTGAACAACACGCCCCTGTGTACTGGGTCCTTTTACTTGGAGACTGAATTGGAAAAAAATCCTTTCAACACTTTCTGTTTTTATTGTCGGAATCTAAAAATCTCACTAAGAAAATAACAAGTGCATTTTTTATTATTAAATATATTTACTTATAAATATATATT